AGCCCCGCCGCCCGCAGCCCGGGGCTGGAGTCAGCCTGTCCGCGCCGCTGGAAACAAACTAGGATTGCAACCCAGCGCTCCTGACTCCAAACTGCGGGCTGAAAAGGGAGCCAAACAGCGACGTGGTGCAGTGGTTCCTGATGGGGTGCATCGATGCCACAGCCCAACTTTCCAGCCCCCGGGAAGGTATGCAGGGGCGAGCAAAAGTAGGTTTACAGTTGTTCGTCTGGTTAAACTATTTTGCGTGCTCACAACTGTGAACCTACTTTTGCCCACCCTTGTATTTACCAACTAGAACTTCCACTTTATTATGCCGCTGGTACTTTGGGCTGGTTCTTTTTCTTCTCCCCAGCTGTGTTTAGATTTCGGGTCCCCAAGGAGGTTTTTGCAAAGGGTAGGGCACGGACGGATATGCACCGAGATGATAATTAATAACCAACAGTTGCGCAAGGCTTCCTCCATGAATTTATTTAGCACACACTTTCTGATGTCCCTGGGGACATAGCCCCTGACAGGGCTGAGCCATGTCCACATGGAGCTTGCATTCTGGGGGCAGATAGACAAGAAGTAGGATACATTAGTATGTTAGATGGCAACGAATACGGGGGAGGGGGGGGGTGGATTAAGCAGGGCAAAGAAATAGGGAGCATGGAGAGTTGCAATTTGAAATTGGCTGACCAGGGAAGGCCCCACTGAGAGGATGGTATTTGTATAAAAATCTAAGGTGGGGGGGCGTGTTCTGGAGGGGAGAGGGATCCCTGGGAAGGGCAAGTCACAGCCATGCGCATAAATGCTGAGGAAGCAGAGTGCCCTGCCTGATGGAGGAAGAGCAAGGAGGGAAGAGGGGTAGGAGGTCAGGGGGTGAGGGAGTCAAGGGGACAGAGGAGGGGGGGCAGATCTCAGGGGGCCTCACAACTTATTTTTAAAAGACTTAGGCTTTTACACTGAGTGAACGGAACAGAAGAATTAGTTACAGTGTTCACAGAATGACTCTGGTTGTTGTGTTGACAACAGGCTGAAGCAGAGAGCTACCACCATGACCCAGGCAAGGGATCTTGGTGGCTGGGACCAGGCTGGTAGCAAGGGAGGTGGGGAAAAGCAGTTGAATTGTCATATGTTTCTAAGGTGCGGCCAGTAGGATTTGCTGACGGATGAGACATGAGGCCTGAGTGGCAAAGAGGAGTCAAGAATGACCCTGAGGGTTTGGCCTGGGCAACGGAAAGGATGAGTGATGATAGGAGGAGCTAGTTTGGGGAGAGTTCCAGATCAGACTGTTCAGTTAGAGACACGTAGATACCTAAGTGGAAGTATCCGTTGGCTGTATGAGTCTGGAATTGGGGGCTAGAGATGCAAATTTTCGAATCATTGGCATGTAGATTGTATGTAAAGCCACAGAATGACAGGTTGTCAGGGAAGTACACGTGCATAGGGAGAAGGAGGGGACCGAGGACTGAGTTCTTGGGACCTGCCAACATTTTGTGGTTGGGAGAACTGGCAAAGGAGACCAGTGCAGGGCGTGCTGTGTGCCAAACACTAGTTCAGCACTTTTACATGCGTTAACTCAGGCCGTCCTCACTATAACTCTGTGCAGTAAGAACTACTATTATCGCCCATTTTACAGATGATGAAACTGAAGCGCAGAGACCCTAATACCTTGCCCAAGGTCACACAGTAGGTCACAGAACCAAGACTTGGTGGAGCACAGCCCCTGTGTCCCAGAGTCTGCCCCCAACCACCAGGCGACAACCCCCTCAGGGACTGCACCAGGTTTTCTTATTCAACAGATTGGGCCTCTCCTGCAGAATGGCCTCAAAGTTCTGCCCACAAACCCCTGAATCTCAATGTCCACATGACTAACAGGCCGGCAGCCTCCCTGATAGGATTGTGTTGAAGCTAAGAATGGAAATGGATGCGAAAGGTGGTGTGAGCTGCGGCGTGCAGGATATGTGTCC